TTTTTATTTTTTGAGCTTTGTCCTTTTCAGAAGTTCTAGATTGAACATACAGTCTTATTTATTTTTGGACTTCAGTATATCAGAGTGGATCAGTCAAATCTCCTGGTTCACAAAGTATTGTTATTGGTCTCTTTTGTTTGTTTGTTCTTTGACGAGCCGAAGGGCCAGAATTTTTCCAGTGACTCACCTCTGCTTTTCCCTCCAGAGAGAGAGTTTAATGTGTTTGTCTTCTGGGACTGGTTTTCATTCAGAATTGTGCCCTGAGATGCATTCATATTATATGCAGCCATGGTTCATTCATTTAAGATTCCATTGCATGAATTATTATTTTTTAATTTAATTAAATTTTTTTTAGAGATGGGGTCTCACTATGTTGCCCAGGCTACTCTCAAACTCTTGGCCTCAAGTGATCCTCCCACCTCAGCCACCAGGGTCACTGGGATCACAGCCTGAGCTACCACACTCAGCTCAGAATTATCTTTGCTATTAAAAAGGTTTGTGGGTAGGTGGGTCCTTGGGTGCCTTCTCTTCCTGTCTGCTCCCGTAGAGGAGCTGAGGCTTGAGTAGACAGTAGGAAGAAAGAACTTCAACGCACTGGCTGAATATATGCGTGTTAAATTTTGGCTTCCAGGTGGCGTGTTAAGTATGGACTTACACACTCCATAAACGGGCATAAATTGTCACGTCGGAGATTCTCCATTACGTTGTCTCTGAAGACAGAGATACATACAGATGGCCCCGCCGGCCCAGCTTTCTCTAGCACTTTCTCACTGAAACAGCCCCGAGCCGGAGCTCTGCTGCTCCCGTGTGCAGCGGACACTCGGGGTCTTTCATTCCTTCCCTCCACCCTCCCACCCTGACCTTGACTGTGCCGCCGCCCGGCGTGGGGCTCTCTGTTATCAACCGCTGACGCTGTGGCTCCGCCGCACAAGTAATGTCCTTGTCCCTCTGCAACATGTTTCCAGATAAACATCGAGGACCTTGAAGATGACCCGGTGGTGAACGGGGAGAGGTCCGACTGCCCACGCACAGATGCTGCGGCTCCGGGGAGCAAAGCAAGGGCTCCGCGTGGAAACGCAGGAACCAAGATGGATGCAGACGCGGCCACCGCAGCACCCCCAGAGCAGGTGGGGAGCTGAGTGGTGAGAAGGACGGGGAGCACGCGGCAGGGCCCCAGGGCACCCAGCTCGTGCACTCTGTTACGCCATTTTCTTGGCGGTGTAATTTTCTGAATTTGATTTTGTGGATTGCCCGAAAATGTCCTTGGGAACCTGATGAGATTTATTCGCATGAAATCTTTGAGACCAGCGGTGGCATCACAGGGGCTGCTTGTGAAGTCCCAGACCTGCCTCCTGTGGCGGGAGAGGCCCTGCCCACTCAGGGAGCGCATCAGCTCGCGGGCGTTCTCCCTCACCGCGCCCCCGAGCCTCGGCTCGCGTGGCCGTGGGCCTGGGTGCTGCTGTGAGTGAACGCGCAGGGCACGCTGGTGCTGGGCGGGCGGAGGGGCAGACAGACCCCCCATGCGCCGTGCCACTCACAGCGGAGGGTCCTTGAGTCAGTCTCCCCAGGGGTCCCCGTGAGGAGAGCTTTTGTGCACGACGCAGCAAGTGTGTATGGGGAGCCCGCTGGCTGCTGGGGAAGAGTCTGTGTCCCCAGGAGCCTCTGGCCGAGAGGGCAGTGTAGACGTGGCCTGGAAAGTGGAGTCTGACTTGAAGTGCAGAGCAGGTGCCTGACGAGGCTCGGGGCGTGAGCCTTCCCTGAGGAGCCTTCACGCGTGTCAGGGAAGGAGGCGGCCAGGTGCAGGTGCGGGGGAACCACAGGCACAGGTGCGGAGGGACCACAGGTGCAGTGGGGGGGGCCAGAGATGCCGGGGACCACGGGTGGGGGACCGCAGGTGCAGGTGCTGGGCTCGCTGTCGGGGCCCGGGCTCAGCAAGGCGCCTGTCTCCGGGGTGGCTGGAGCGTGACAGGCGGTGGTTGCAAAAGCGAGAACTGAAAGCTGGAGAGGCAGGTGGCAGGTCAGAGCCCACGAGCTGTCCTGCGGTTACGGGGAGCCCTGCAGCTCAGCGGGCAGGTGTGAGAGAAACACCTGCTGACCAGAGTTGGGGAGACAGTGGGAAAGGTGCCTTCTGGAGAAAGGAGGGGGGTTGAAGGGACATTTGGGAGGTGCAGGGGGTGTGCAGGGGCTGCCCCGTGAGGGTGCAGTCATGCTTGCTGCCTTAGTTCTCAGTTTTTAAGATTTTACTTCTCTTTGCACTGATCGCAAATGTGCTTCTTTTATTAGTCTAATGCAAGTGGCAAACTTCGAAAGAAGAAAAAGAAACAGAAAAATAAGAAAAACAGCACAGGAGAGACTTCGGTGTGTGAGTCAGACCTGGCTTTGTTTTCTCCCTCCGCCTGCCTCCCTCTCCGTCTTTTCTGGTTGTGTTTTTCAAGGTGGTGTGAAAGTTTGTTTTTATTTGATATTTTGATTCCTTCCCATTAGGAGTATAACTAAATCATTAATAGCAGTCAAGGAAGAAGAAAAGGAAAACTTACTACCAGACTTTCTTCTTTTTGTTCCCTCGGTTCTTTGGTGGGTTAGAGCCCACTCTCGTGTTTCCAGTTCCCAGCACCCGCCAGAACCGGTCCTGATGGGGAGTCTCTCCTGGTCTGCTGCTCCCGCGGCCCGTGTGATGCTGCCCTGACATTTGTCTGGCGTCCTGGACTAGGGGTGGCAACCACCCACAGGACCTGGTCTGTCGTCAGAAAGTGTGTTTTCATTGCTGGCCTTGGTCCTGTCGGATTCTGTTTGTCCTGAGAAGGGGCTGTGGCTTTGTTCCTGTTCGGCTGGAGTCACAAGTCCCGCTCTGTGTACCTGAGGACGTGGAATGTGGTCTTTTGACCCACTTATTTCCAGGGTCCCTCTGGTTCTCTGATTTTTACCTATTCTGAGCTGCTACTTGTGAGACATCTCTTTTTTCTAAATGTATGTGTGATACATAGTGTTTGAATTACACTGTCTTCTAGGGAGTAAAAACAATTTAATAGTTCTCTCAAAATAAATCTTTGTTATTGACTGTTATAACCTTTAGAGGAAGGTCAGTGTGGTGATGAGTAGGTTGTTTTTGCGCATTCAGGAAAATGGACTGGAGGATATCGACCGCATCCTGGAGAGGATCGAGGACAGCGGCGGACTGAACCACCCGGGCCCTGCGCCCCTGAGCGCCAGGAAGCACGTCCTGTACGTGGAACACAGGTACGAGCCGCTCCTCCCGCTGTGACCACAGAGACCCTGTGGAAGGAAAGAGTTATTTGAAAAGAAGAACAAGGAAATGTACTGTCTTTATCTTAAAATAGTATGAGTTTATTATTAAACATTTAGGAAATAGGAACGAGGAGAAAGAAGAAAAGGAAAATTCACCATATTTCAGAGGACTTTTAGCTTTACTTCCATGTATCTTAGGAAGCTCTTCCTTGAACTGTGTGCAAGGGCCGTGTCGTCCTTGGATGACAGTCCATCTGTCGGTCTCATAGATGCTTAATCAATCCTTATCCCCAGTTCAGAGATTGTTGTCAGCTTTAAAAAAAAAAAGCCCACCCAGAGTCAGTTAAGACATAGTGATCTAGTCTCAGGAGCGTGCGCCGCCCTCACTCAGCCTGGAAACGGACGCGCCCCTCTGTGCTGTGCGCAGTGGTGGCCTGAGTCCCTCTCCGCACCTGCTGCCTCCTGGTGCCCTCAGGGCGTCGTGGCCGGGCCTCCCTGCAGGCGGGTGCTGGCTTTGCGGAAAGTAGGCCTGGAGTTGCTGTTCGAGCCACGATCCCTCTTCTCCCTCCTGGGTTCTTAGGTGGCTTTCCAACATTTCCAGAATCATCGTAGAACACAAATTTACTTTTCTTTCTAAAATTTTCAATTCTCTAGACACTTGAATCCAGACACAGAACTGAAAAGGTATTTTGGTGCTCGAGCAGTCCTGGGGGAGCAAAGGTAAGGGCCACCCGCAGCTGCCGCCTCAAACCGTTTCGTTC